TAAAGAAGAAAAAATAAACCCTTCCTAGCTCCTCCATCAAATTTGATGTCCGAGCAGCTGCACGAGTGTCTGAACAGTGATCATACAATTCCAAATCCTGAAAAATATTTCAATGATATAAATGAATTTATAAATGTTATAGAAAAAAAGGGTGTCGAAAAGCAATGAGAGTGGTTATGCGCTCACGTTGTTAATGTACCAGGCTTGGACAAATCGAATCACTTCTAAAGTGGCCAGTAACGATATCGGCAATAAATTGTTGTAGAGAATGAAAAATGTTATCACAGTGTAAAAAACTGAATTTTCGTTTCCTAAAACAAATAACACTACAAAATTAGCCTTTTTCATTTATTAACTATTCGATAACACAACGGTACGATGAGAATGAAGCCAAGTTTGCATTAAAATAAATTTTGCTCCACAGAATGCTTGCGCATATGTCAGTTTTAAGATAGATATACGCTTACTAGTCGCGAAATTGATTTGTAAAAACCAGATTTCAAATTCTATAAAAGTTCTTCCACGTTCACCACTTACTTTACATAAGCCTTTTTCTACTAAATACTACTCATTAAATCTTTAACCGTCCCATCTTGTTTAGTCAAAATAAACTTTTAGTGGTTCAGACAAAGTGAGGCTTATAACTAAAATAGTTCTACGTCTTTACGCTCAATCGAAGTAATAGAAGTTCGAAGCGGTTTTTTAAAGACTTGACAGATTTTGTTCGATACACCAATAAAATCTTTATACCGAGAATAGATGCCATGTCTGAATTCACGGAGACTGAGTCGTTTAAGAAGAAAGCAGCAAAGGAACTTCCAAAAACAAGTATTATAAAAGCTATGAACATACACACCATTTTACCATTCAGCGACTTCTCGAAGCTCGACCTTAAACGATAATGTCCTCTCCCAAAACTCAAAAATTTATTAACTTATTGTAAAAGTAATCTTTGAAAAATTAATAAGCGATGCTCAATAAACCATACAGTTTGATCGGCACAGCTTTCGAATTTATTAGTAATTTTGTTTCATGGCCTGCGTACAAAACCACACCATGAATCCATCTCGTATGTTTCAAGCGGGCTCCACGGAGGAGAGTGTGCTCTATTCCTACAAACAATCAGAAACGCATGTTTCAACTGATGTCACAATCAGCTATAGAAGAAGCCTCTAAGGGGTTCAAAAAATAGTTTCAACAGGAAACCTTAGGTAAAATAGAAGAAGTTTGTAGTGCTAATACTAAAAAAAATAACTCTTCTTTAGTAAAATAAATTATCTCAGTTCAGTTATCAGGTTTCTTACAACAAAAATGCTGCTTTAAATAGTTTTATCTGGAAAAGTCAAGTGAAAATCATAAAGGTTTCAAAGTGGTAACCTTTATTTTTGAATTACGGATTTGCCTACTTTAAGCCAACAGTAACAAATCTGATACGGAGCAACAACGAGAAATTAGTGACCTAACGGGTATTCTTCCTTCCCAACAATCAGTAATCCATGGAACTGATTTATTTTTTTATTTGGTGGTTCGCACCGAATCTCACAAGAAAATGACTGGAGTCCGGAGACTTCTGTAACATGAGACGTCTTCTTCAAACCGTGACGAAATTTTAAATGAGTTTCGCCATCGATGTTTGACGTCTCAATATAACATAATCCGCTTGGTTCACTGGATGAGAGTAACAACAGGTCGGCAGGAAAGAACTTACCTTCTTCCACTTTAACGATATCACCAACAACAATCTGCAAG